ATGGACAGACGGATGACAGACGGATGGACAGACGGATGACAGACGGATGGATAGACGGATGGACAGACGGATGGACAGAGATGGACAGCGGATGACTAGACGGATGGACAGACGGATGGACGACGGATGGACAGACGGCATTGGACAGACGGATGGGACAGACGGATGGACGACGGATGGAAGACGATATGTCCATCCGTCTGTCCATCCGTCTGTCCATCCGTCTGTCCATCCGTCTGTCCATCCGTCTGTCCGTCCGTCTGTCCGTCCGTCCGTCCGTCTCTCTGGCCGTCCATCTGTTATCAACGCTAGAGCCTACACCTTTCAATTAATTGTCTCCAAAACTGATATTCCATGATCGATTTAAATGAACTCTAGACCTTTTGAGTTTGAAAGGGATATTTTAATTTTTGGGGGTACTTTACATCAAGCCTCAACATTTTTAAATTTTCTCAAAAATGGCTCCAAGGTTTTTTTTATTAAACTTTGTCCTTGGATAGCATAAATGATGCTCAAGCGAATGGGACAGGTCTTATTTTCTTTAAAATCCCTGATGTTTCGAAAATTGCAAAATTGCAACTTTTTTTGGCGTCTTCCTACAACTACAATATTGAAGATAGAGATTTTGTCCTGAATACAATTTTATTTAAAGGCAGATCTTCAAACAAATATACGTATTATTTTTCGAAAACATGACTAGTTTTAGCATAATTTTGAGTGAAACGTAAGCATTTTTTTCTTTTAACAATTCTCTTCTCAAAAACGGATCCAATTTTTTTCTTTAAATTTCTCCTCATATCTTTCAAAGGATGATACAGAGGTGGCGCGAGTCTTATTTCCGGCAAACACTATATTTTTAAGTATTGCAAATATTTCGTAATTCAAAACTATGTACTTATATCTAGCTTATGAACCCCCCAGTACACAAATGAGTCCTGCCTGCTAGACATGTAAACGTAAATGTGTAATCTTAATTTTTCAACTTGCCACGAGCGGTAATCAAAGACAGGGTTTCCTGGCTCATTATCCCAATACTGTATTTACGTTTTATAGCCTTCTCAGTGTGGTAACGAAACCCTGCTGTCTTGTGTCCGCGAAATGCCATACGAATAATTCATTTTCACTTGGAATTCTCTCTTGAATTTCAATCGCTTCAATTGCAGCTGACATTTTGTTTTTAACCTCAATTTAATAATAGTTGAGTGTGCTTGACAATGCAATGGACAGTATGTTAAGTGGGGTCGGGACATAGTGGGTGAGGTGTATCAGGGTGGAGAGGAACGGGGTAGTTTGTAGGGGGGTTGTGCGGGCCGAAGGGTGGAAGGGTGAGGGGAGGGATAGCTAGATTTCCTCATAAAACAATATATTTATTTTAAATATAATTTTATGTGAATAAATTTTATTTAAAATTGTAAAAATCATTCCAAAATAAAAATTTTCATAAACATTTTTGAATATTTTTAAAAAAATTATGTCAGTTCTCCCTTATTTTTAAGTCATTTTCCTCTTATTTTTAAGTTATTTTGTAGATAATTTTCAACGACTTTTTAGATCATCAGAATCCGAGCCCTTAGCATTACGTACTCCAAAGTTACTTTCCATTCTTTACTACAGGTAGAATGGGGAGAAAATGAATCTTAATTACTCATTTTACTTTCTAAAAGATGAATATGCTAAATAAATACACGGGTAACGCCCGATATTTCAGCTGGGTGTTAAATAAATCTGGCGTATTGAAAAAATTCTTGTATTTTCTCTTTAAAACATGTCAAAGTTAAGTCATTTCGGGAACTGTAAACTGTAAATCTCTAAAATATGATCCGGTCCTAATTTACCTAACAGTTTTCGGTAAATGAAAGACGTTACTAATTTACTAAACACATTCTGTTATGGATTAAATAAAGTTTTCCTCTGTAAAAAGCAATAAAGGTTTCAGGTTTCATTGATTTCTTCATAGTTTCCTGAATAAATGCAGTAAAATCCATGAAGATAAGACGTTTCATATCTTAATCGATTTGAAGTATTATCTTCAGCCTCACCTTCAATTTCAGTTTCACTGTTAGCAACATCTTCATCTTCAAAATCATTTTCCACGTAACTTTCGGCTTCCTAAACATATTAAAAAATAAATTAAAATAGTTGAAATGCATTACAGATTACAATATAGAGTTAACATAAATGATGCGTTTGGCTACTCAGATGTTTGCCTGAACACATTACACATATAATGGAAAATAAAGAGTTTGGAAAACCCGAAGGCAAGGGGGAATTTGAAATCGTCTAACTCAAGGGAAAAAATGAGTGTTGGATGCATTTCGGGACAAATTGCTTGCTTGATTGCTGTGATGTGCCGTGAATGATAAGAGAGGTTGATAGAATAGTATGTGCAAACGGGCCTTTGTATATTTAAGTGACTGATAAAAATGAACGATGAACACCGAAAACAAAAATATATCTCATGAAATACAATATACGATTTGCTTTTCTTTCTTGGCTTTCGACAGTGATTGATAATTCGTTGCATAAAACCTGCGGTGCACATATAAAGCGACAAATTTTAATTATTGCTATTTTATCAGGGAAAGGTTTTAAGTGGGGTCATTTGTTTTTAGGCCAAAACATTTTTTTACATTACAAACCGTGCAGTCTTGTGAACTATCTAGCAATTTTTACTAGTATAAATGTAATTGTTTCTTAATATATTTCAATTACAAAATGATAATTTCCGAAATATGTCATTTTTTTGTACCGACGAGGTGACCACTTTTTTATCTTATTGCCCAGATATCATAAGAATACCCTTCGTGAGAAAGCTTCCTCTATTCTACCAAGCGAAGTTTGTACATTCTAAAAAATTATTACATGGTACAAAATTAATCGCCATGTCTGTTGCCAGAGAGTTTTCAATATACTTGTACCTCGAAGATACACATGGGCAGTTTAATGGTGTGCAATCATTTTCCTTCTGAGGAAAGTAATTGTAGATGCGTAGTACGCAAAACAGCTGTTAACATGTGTATAAACGGTTATGCAAACCTGTCTATTGTCCTAAAAAATATATTTACTTAACTGTATTACTTATTCTTTCAAGGGTGACAAATTGTATTTAAAATTATTTGTTTGCCAAATGTTTCAAACATTATTTCGAGTTAATTTTTAGAGATTTTCAAATGTTTCTGTTTCATGTGTTCAGATGTTCATGGTTCATACTTTATCAGTATTTTATAATATTATGTCAAAATATTAAATTATAATTTCAGTAAAATAGGAACTAAGTAATATTTATTGATAGTTACAACAGCCTTTTATGTCCCTGTCACAAGTAAAAGTAGTAGACTCCATTCCTCAATGGTTTCATATTTTCATAATTTCCAACAAGCAATACAATTTATTACAAAATTAAAGATTATTAGATGTGTACTTATTTTCATGAAAATTCATTTTCTGTACGATGCGTTGCGTTCAAATTCGATACAGATGTCTAAAGTAAAATGAATGACTGGCAAAAAGTACAAATATTTTTACCTGATAAGCTTGATATTCTGAGATGAGGTCGATAACATTGCTTTCTGCTTGGTAAAACTCCATTTCATCCATCCCCTGTCCCAGATAGGAATGAAGAAAGGCTTTCTTTTTTATCATGAGAGCGAACTGCGCTGAGATTCTTGCAAACAACTCTTGAACAGCAGTATTATTAGCGATGAATGTCGATGAGATTGTTAAACCAGGGGGTGGAATATCACACATTGCAGTTTGCACATTATTTGGAATCCACTCTACAAAATACCTGCTGTTTTTGTTCTGTGCCATTGATATTTCTTCGTCAACTTCCTTTGCAGATACTTGACCTCTAGAACATCATGACCCATTCCGAATTGTACAATCATGAATAATACACGGTTATTTCAATGCAAAATACTCTGCCGATATGAAATTATTTTAATAATTAATGAGCCAAATAGTAGAACATTCAAACTAAGGTACTTGAAAAAACACTGCATTCGTTCAATAGTTGCAATATTTTGTAGTAATGTTTTATAAGTATCATACTTTTAAGTTCCTAAAATTTTAAAATCCTGTAAGGTTGATTACTTTAAGAAAGTGTGCATAGAAGTATTGTTCTAAAATATACATTTCTATACATGAAGACAAAATGTTAATGTACCTCAATATTACAGCAGCAGTAAGGTATCGACCGTGATGTAGATCACAAGCGGCCAACAAATTTCTGGCCTCAAAGATTTGTCGGATGATTTGGGAAACGGACAATGCCTCGTACTCCTCCTGTTTTCTTGCCATCAAAGGAGCGAAACCAGGGACGAAAAAATGAAGGCGAGGAAAAGGAACGAGGTTCACGGCAAGCTTCCGCAAATCCGTGTTCAAAGATCCTGAAAATCGGAAGCAAGTGGTGACTCCAGACATTGCCAGAGAAATGAGATGGTTCATATCGTTGTAATTCGGTTGCGAAAGCTTTTGTACCCGGAAACATATGTTGTAGAGAGCTTCATTGTCTACACAAAATGTTTCATCGCTTTCCTCCAGTAGCTCATTAAATGATAATATAGTATTATAAGGCTCGACTACAGATTCAGACACCTGTGAAATGAAATAAAGGATAATGTTCAGTGTAATTAATTACAATATTTATTAAATCAAATGTTTTCAATGAAGCAATTCTTCAGAAGAGACTTTTTTTCAAAGATTCTAATTTACATTTGCAGGCAATATGAGCAAATAATTACAATCAATATTTCAGCTTAACCTGCATGGTCATATATAAAAAAAATCAAAGAGAAATACAAAATGACGTTGTCATTAAGAGTGTCTTCACAAATTAGGAATATTGTTGCTTTCAAATCAGATCATATTTCCCAATGTCGTTATCAATATGTCCAGTTTCGGAAAACACCTAGGATAATAAATGATGTGATAAGTTCAAAATAAGTAGCCACAGAAATTTATTGATGGTGCCAACAATCAACAACGCACTGTAACGGCTACATTACTTGTGGTGTGAAAGTCAACTGTGACCAAAAGAAAGGTCCTGATATCACAATCGCTTTCAATGTTCTGAATAGGAATAGCAAGACAGCATGAATAAATAAAAGTTAATGGAGTTGGCTGGGTTGAGCATCAATTAGGTTTTTACTTCGTAAGATATAAATAGCTGTCTTCCTAGGCCTGACAAACTTGACAAACATCGGAGAAATGCAGATTAAGAGCGGGTATGGCAGGGTTCGAATGTAGCGCAGATCCCACGAAGACTTGGACCTAAGTTGTCAACAAGGATTTGTCAAGCCAGTGTTGGCCCCATTTTGATGTGTGCCCGAGGAAAGGTAGGCCTCTGGTACGTTGACTGAACTGGACTGAACCGATCATTGACTGGAAATGGTTATATTCAGCTATTTGAAGTCCATTTACAGCAAATTTATGGACTTCATGTTCTCAAACAGCGATGAAATTTTTATGGATGACAATACACCATGTCATCGAGCAATTCGAACGAATTATTTGGCCATCCAAATCACCGTACATGAATCACATCTAACATTTATAGGACATAATCTAGAGGTCAGCTCGTGCACAACACTTTGGCAATTCTGGACGTCTGGCAATTCCACAGAGACAGCATGGCTCAATATTTCTGCACGGGACTTCCAACGACTTGGGTTCATGCCTCGTCGAGTGGCTGTACTTTGCCAGGCAAAAGGAGGTCCGACACGGTATTAGGAGGTATCACATATACTTTTTTACCTCAGTGATCAATACGCACTAGTATACCTTTACGGACAAATAAAGAGGTTTTAAATATTTCACCTATGACATTTCAGTACAAGTTCTTTTTAATAGAATACTATAAATATAAAATTAAAACTCTACTATATATACAGTTGTATCTATTATATCAGTATAAGTATCTACTCTGTATACCGACATTCCTTTAACAACTCACCTTTGGCGACGGCAAAACAGAGTACGTGCTCATGATCCGGTCCGGGTACTCCTCGCGTATCTTGGAGATGAGCAGCGTGCCCATGCCGGAGCCCGTGCCGCCGCCCAGCGAGTGCGTGAGCTGGAAGCCCTGCAGGCAGTCGCAGTTCTCCGCCTCCTTGCGCACCACGTCCAGCACCATGTCCACCAGCTCGGCGCCCTCCGTGTAGTGGCCCTTGGCCCAGTTGTTGCCGGCGCCCGACTGCCCGAACACGAAGTTGTCGGGGCGGAAGAGCTGGCTCAGCGCGCCCGTTCGCACGGCCTCCAGCGGCCCGGGCTCCAGGTCGAACAGCACCGCCCGGGGCACGAAGTGGCTTCTGTCGCTGCCGCCCGCTGCTGGAGTGATTGACTGATTGACTAGTGTCTCCGCGTGCGTCCACTGCTAAGGTCATTAGTCCCATACGTGTAGTGCAGAAAATGCTTAGCCACATTCCGTGCCTGCGCTCCGGTATCCAACATGTCAGCAATCTCCGTTACTCAAATTAGTTTTTACCATTTAATTCAATCATCTGCAGTAACCGCCAATAGAGCACACAATCGAAAATATTTTAAACTCAGCAGCCAAATCCATGTCCACACAGACCTCCCGAAATCGTTTCCTAGGGACTATAAACAAAGAACCCTGGTTCGTACCCAATTATCTTCTTCATCATGAGCTCAGCATACCCTCTGTCAAACAATCTGCGCTTACATTTTACCAGAAAATTCCTTCAATGCCACAAGCCCTCCACTTCCAATTAGGGAAACAAACCACAAACAGAATACGCAGAAAACTTCCCAGGAACTTTTATGTCCCACCGTAAACCTCTCGCACATACAACTCCTCTAAATAATTCTAAGACAATAATTACTTCTAAATGTAACTCTACCCAATAACTTTGCTCGAATGTTTTCAAACCCCTTGGAAAAAAGGTTGTACACGTGAATAGCAAATACATTTTTAAATGTACGTCTCAAATTATTTTAATCAGATAACATGAACAAAATTGAAGCCACTAATATTGGATGCCTAATAGGCAGCGACATCTAACCATGACATAAAGGCCTTTCGAAAACCTTTCTCAAACGTTTATCGTAAGGTGTGCAGACTGTAGCACAATTATGTTTAGTTCGCTGTTGGGAAATCGCCGCGTAGTTACTCACTTGAAACTTCGTTGAAGTAAACGTTGATGCGTTCCAACTGCAGAGAGGACGCGGCCGCGACGGCCCCAGTGCGCTCAACGCCATGTTCACGTGATATTAGCTCCCAGAACTAGTCAAGAAAAAATGCATTAAATAAACATAAAGTAAACAAGAAGTGATACATACTAAAAATTATTTTTTCTGGTATTTTAAATGCTTCTCATTAGCTGGGTATTTCTTATATTTCAAATATTCCAACCTCTGTATACGTATAGTATATAAACTAAAGATAAATGACGGTTTGTTTACGAGTTACAAGAAACAATCGACACAAAACTCTGTAAATGTGGTGTTAGATAGGGAATTGCCCTCCGCGGAAAACTACCGATCAGAGCAGTCGATCGCTAGAATGAATTCTCCTCCAGACAGCGACTGAACTCGACCTAGCTCTAGCTAGGTCGAAAATCCTACCGTAGGCAGTGGAACCCAAAGATCTCCAGACAGAGGCATTGCATTGACGTAAAATGTAAATGATCCGCATCTGAATATATTTAATCCCAATTTTACTAACTTCGTTAAGACTTTGAGAATGTCTATTTTCGATTTCGAATAACTTGATGTTTAGCTGTTTGAATTCTCTATGAATTTTCTCCTGATTCATGTAATTACATATATTCTTATTCATATTTTTATAATGTTTTAATATTATAAATTTGCCAGCCACCTTTACACTTACATATTTTATAACCTTTTGTATTTGGACCAAAAGAGTCCGTATAGTGAATAAATAATAATAATAATAATAATAATAATAATAATAATAATATTTATATTTTTATATTACCCACATTTTCCACAAAATTACTTGAAAATTACGAAAATTTAAAATAAAAATAATGAATTTCATTAAAGAACTAATTGAGCACAATTTTCATTTCGCTATCTTCAGTATTGTAGTTGTAGCATTACACCGAAAAAAAGCCAACTTTAGTAATTTTCGAAAATTCTGAGTTAACAGTGAAAATCTGACCTATGCTAATGAGTGTAATTCTCTGTAATCTTACAAAAAATAAGAAGAGAAAATTTAGTCATTTTTGAGAAAATTTGAAGTCCAAGAATTTTATAATTTAAAGAATGTTTTTCAAAATTCTAGAGCTTCCAGTCAGGCTAGATCGATTGGGCAACATTCATTTTGAAAAAATGCTCTGAAAAAATCCTATGAATAATTTAGGCACTAGTGTTGTTCAAAAGCGGACGGGCGAACAAACAGACTGACAGACGTTTTGGAAAGAAACACTTTTCCACTATCAGGGGACCACAAAATGTATATTTCCGTTGAAATCTCAAAATCAATATTCCCCAACATTACCTAACTTTCTCTCAATTACTTATATTATTCTGTATTTACGAAAGTATACGAGGAAGTTAAAAGAAATATTCTGTATATTACACTGCTTGTACTTTCCACACGATATCATGACTTATTAACAACGAAAGATTTACAAACGTCGAAATTACGCCAGCTGAATCGGTGAGAACTTTATTATCAGAAACGATTGATGTTAGATTTTATCGTACAAGCAATAATGTAATCACTAAAGTTAAAAGTAGAAAGTACATTCTTAATCTGAACACGCATCTTTTCTGGTATAGAATTTAATAATAATAAAAAAAATTATTGATGTGAAGGGTGCCAAAATCAATGTGTCGCCACAAGAACTCTTGTAGAAGGGTCGTTTGTGAAAATTTTTGTCTTTCAAATGAAAATTCACTGTATTAATACCGCAGATGCTGATTTGCATAAAGTTTCATATAATTCGAAGTGTGCTGTTCATGAGGTTAATGTAATTAGATCACCTCATGTTATAGTACGTGTTAAAGCTTTCCAATGTTGCGGCCCTAGAGATTAGGGCACGTGAGTTCAGATTACATCCATAAAATGTAGCAACAAGAATTAGGTTAGAACGTTTTTAGATTGAAGGTGATAGGCGTGATGCACGTGTCGACTTCTTTTTCAAAGACGTATCTCAGATGCAAACTAACAATTTACTAGAATGTGTTCATGTGAATTTGTGTGGACCAATGCCTTCTAACTATGAAACAAAATAACCGCAGATAGTCTCCCGTGAGTACGTCGTCCAGAACTATATGACTCGATAATGTATTACATCATATTATTATAACATATAATTTAATGATCTTTCATAATAATTGCGAAATTTCCAATGATATGTATTTTTACTTTTAAGTGTAAAGTAAAATATGATAATTTGCCATTGTATTTGATGGCAAGGAATATTTAATTGATTCCTAACATATCAGGAAAATCAACTTTTGCGGGTGCAAGGAGCAAATACCATCAGATAGCACTAGTGTAGTATACCAGCGTGAAGATACCCACATGTTCAATGCCAATTGAAATATCTAAAATACTACGCACAACTTTTTCAAATATATTTTTGAAACGACGAATATTCCCTGATTTAAGACAATATTTAGCAAACAAATACGTTAATATGCAAAACTCAATTTTTTCGTAATCTGACAACTACATTTTGTCTACTACAACCTGAAGTGCATTACACAATAGTTTTTGAAGCAAATTACAGCATTTTCAAAATGAAACTTTGTAGATAAATATTATTACGATAGAAATGAGAGGTCTCGTAAATGTAGAGGTATTTTTGCTCATCAAGGCATTTTTATTATATCCAAAAACAGAAGTCATTAGATTTAAAATATTATTTTTCAAGAGGTAAATTACCAAAACTTATTAATTCCTATAGTATTATCATTAAGACAATAATGACATCTAAACGAAGCAAATTCTAGACACGAATGATGAAACCATTGGCAAATAAAGAATTTACAACAAAAATATACCGCTTAAAAAACTCTTTTCAATAAAATAAACTATATTTTTTTCTTATCTCATCGACAGGGCCAATATCGTTTGTTAAATTTAGTTGAATCTTCCGAGAAAAAATGAATAAGCTGTTACTTTATACTAGGCAATTGTATGTATGAATTAAATCTGACACTTCATTCAAATGCATACACAATATTATTGATTAAATAAGCTCTTGATGCACTGAACACGCACAACAAGTATGTTCAAATAGCTCCGCACTGCATACCTTGGTTCCAATCTGATTACCGCACTGGCCGCCTTGCAGGTGTACAATCTCTCGCATTGCTACTGCAATACTAAGTTGTCAGTTGAGTTAATTGGGGAAATTAAAATCAGATCTCGAACAAATTATTATCTCATAATGACGAGCGCAACGTCCTTCGACAGATGACCGTACAGTTATACTACTACTGTTTTTCCCTAAGGCCATCCAGAGAAATTATCTTCTTCTATATTAACAGCGGACTTTATCCATTATCTCCAGAAGGCACACAATGACAAGTTGCAGTTCCCTGATCAGTGCAGTTATCACTGGCGGAGATACTTTCAAAATAATCTCGAACTTTGACGGCGATATTTTGGGAGAATGATGGAATGCATTTGTGCAAATAAATCGTGAATTTGCAAAACCACTTAAGTCCTTAGAAGTACTTTTCGTCAATGTAAAAATAAATGTTAGTGAACCATATTTTGATACAAGAAATGCCTGTATGCTTGTCCACCCGTTCGTCTGTAGACAACGCTAGTACCTAAACTTTCTCTCTAATTTCACCCAAATTGATATTCTCCTATTGACTTCACGCCCTGCGAGTTTGAAACGAATATTTATATGGGGGAGGGGGTACTTAACGTGAATCCTCGACATTGCTTTCTACATTTTCTCTTTCATTTTGAAAATGTTGAGGTCTCATATAAATCACCCCCTTCTCAAACATCCGTTTCAAACTCAGAACATCTCGTGTTCATTTAAATAGATCGGGGAATATCAGTTCCGGAGATAATTTGCTGAAGGGTTGGGCGTTAGCGTTGATCACAGACGGACAGGCTGAAGGACGGACGGACGGACGGACGGATGGACAGTCAGGAGTTTTGCCGACAATGGATTTTTCGGTATCAAGGACCCACTAAACACGGATTCTGAATACACGACGTGTTAGAGGAAGTAATTATGAACAAATCCCCCTTTTCGTTACAAGGGCCCGACAATTTGAGTTATTCTGCCTAACCTTAGCAGTTTTCCGGCGCACGATTACAATACGTACTCTTCTCAAGAAGCAAGGGTTGGGAAAGTAAAAAGTTCATGTATTCTTTTCTTATCGTATTCTTTTGTCGGTAATAGTTAAATTGAATTGAGACCTTCTTTATATCTCGGAAGAATAAAAACCTGTTTTACACAGAAATATCCGGGAAGAAAAATGTCAAAGAAGACGAAAAGTGTCAAAGTTATTATTATAGACATTATTCGTATAGATTTCCATTTCATTGATTGCATTTTGTAAGGGTCGCTTAGGATTTTCAATTTCGTCGTTTGAGGTGACGGCAAACTGTTTACGAATACGATTACAATAGTGTTTCAATGCACAAACCCGTAGCACATTTTGCATTAACATTTTGGATACAACTCGTATTACTCACATCATGAATTATCGGTAAAAGGAGATCTTGATCTCAACAGTTCAAGTAGGTTAGTCGAGTCCATCTCGAGATCGCATCTGAGTGCCTACTGATATCTTACATCTGAATAACAACTTTGACATTTATTTTCTTCTAGAAGTACCTCAAGACGCAGGTTGCCGGTGCTGATCAAAGTCCTCACAAGAGGCGGCTCTTGATAGAATAAGTGTGGGCTGCAGTTACAATTTAACATGTGCTTTGAAATACAAAAGTTAAGTGGATGTGCTTACTTTTTTATTTATTGACGAAAAACGAAAATCACACTACGCTTTTTTTACTTTCTCGCCAATAGTAAAGAAATAGTAAAGTTACGTAGTAAAGAAAAAGTGTTGTTAAGCTGGGAAGTGGTGTTTTTTGACAAGAAAAATATCGTAATGAATAACAAGTAATCGACCAACATTTTAACAGACTCGTTTAAATTGAATGAAAAGTTTTTAAATGGTGAATGTTACGACGTTTCAGCCTTTTGATATATTACGGCCATCAACAGGAAAATATGTGAGGGGTTCCCAAATCAACAATGTGCCAATCAGTCGTATCAGTCGACACATTCGTAAACGTCGTATCGTACAAATTCGGCTGCAGATAATACTCGTATTGTGTATCCCTGATACCAAAAAAGGGTTGATTATATTAGCTCCTTTATAAAAGTACTTTCTATAATATGTTCAGGGTTCCCGTGTTAAAAGTTATTCCCCTAAATTTAGAGCTTTTTTTGTCCTTAGTGCATGTTTTACGAGGCAAATTCATTTGGTATGTTTTCTTGGGGTTTTCTATGAGTTTTTAAATGATTTTTTTAAAAATATCGATTATGAATTATAAAATTACAAATCACAAAAATATTTCCATACAATTATTGCAGGTATATGTATTCAATTATAACTAGCGTAGTAAAATACGTATAGGCGTGGGTGGCATTTTTGGTGATTGACAAAATTTCGTACCAACTTCATCATTGTTAAAAACGTTTAACAACGAAAACTTGTACGAGTCACAAAACATTGACGTGTTGTTGATTTAATGTCTGAATTTTTCATGTATGAAAGGATAGGGATTCACTAGTGAATTTACCACGGAGAATCAATCACAGAAGGCGAGTCACGCTGCCAAGCGGCGATGCGTGACCCTAGTGAGGATTTTAAAAGCGGCCACCTAGTGTCCACTGCATGTGTCGCTATCTCTTGAGAACTATGCGTACTCACTGGACTGTCCAGTAGCGGGAGGCTGATTTACCTACCACAACCATGTCTGTAAGGACCACCACAAATACTGGTCACAAATAACGTTAGCAATTTATAAATGTATTGTATATAATCCTCCTCAAACAAAGGCCAATTTATAAATATATTTTACTAGCTCAATAACTAGCATTTATTACTATCATCAACGTAAAATATAGCTGCCGTATGTGGCGTTGCCCGATGTTGGATTTACATGATGGTGCCTCACCTAAAAGAATTTCTTTTCACGTTTAGGTAACTTTCATTCAGAAATATGTTAATAGCAAACTTCATAATATCAGCCTCCCTTGCCCTACCTGCATTTTAGGAAAATTCATTTTTACTCATTGGTACTGAAATCCCATAACAGGGACATGGGAGTATCTACACAGTGAAGTTTGAGAATAGAATTGCGATTTCTGCGTTACTAACTCCTCAGCTATTACTTGAAAACATCCAGTCCAACCAATTCAAACAAATCGTCTGTGATGCATATATGCATTGATTTCGATAGTCAGGAGCAGCAATCATTTCTTACTTTTACAAAGGAAACAAACAGGTATAAATTTAACTGATACAGTATTTGCAGAAAATTATACAGAAAGGTATGAATAATTTCAAGCAAGTTTGCCTTGATTACAGCCAGCGAAACATAGTTGTCAGCGCGGCGTTGTCAAAACAAAAATGCAATTCGTTTGGCGTACATGCTTCGCGAATATTTTCTTATGAATTTTTGGCAAAAACTGTTATTTCCATATTCATATTTCAATATTCGGATTTCAACTTGTTTATGGTTTAGCACGGATTTCAACGAAAATGATACCTGCACCATTCTCCTAAGCGTTCTTTACGGTATATGAGGGCAAAATTTAATTAAAACATTTGGTGCCGTTTCGGAAAAAAATTGTTTAAAAAAATTAAAAACGGCCTATGTTTGACCTAGCTTGACCTTTTATACAGATATCTTGAAAGAACCGGCATTATTAAGGAAAAAATCTCTACCTTCAATATTTTAGTTGTGGTAAGACATCGAAAGAAATGGACCTTTGCAATTTTCGAAAAATGATGAATTTCAGACCTGTTCAATTATACGTTCCTTACGATATTCGATAACATTTAACTAACAAATTTGGACTTTTTTCTTTTTAAAATTTTGAAAAGGTCTATTGGCCTCAAAATTAAAATATCGTTTCAAATTCTACGGGCCGTGACATCAGTTACATTGGTGAGGTATTATAAATTTTGGAGAAAATCGGCTGAACTGTTTAGGCGCTTGCGTTGACCACCGACAGACATTTTGCATTCAATCGATTTTTCGGTATCAACGCCCCACAAAACATCGATTCTGGCTACACAGTTTTCTATATGCTACAACAAATAGCATACACTACCCACTTAAAGTCGTGATAACTGGGTAATTCCTAGGCATTTTAGGATCCAATGGGTTCCCTAGACTTCCCCACAGGACATTGAAGATTCTTTCCTGCATTTACTACTAGCTATGCTAAATTGCTCCATCGTAATTAACAAATTGTGTGTAAAGTTTAATAGAGCTTTTGGGAGCAATTAACGAGATAGTCGGTAGATCGCCTCGAGACGTGATCCCCAGGGTCTTGAGGGCACTGACTGGAAATTTTGGCATAGCCCCCAGAGGTTCCAACCACCATTGGCAGGATTCTGGCTATGGGTACTCCATGAAGTTGGGCTGCCAGGGGGATGACTGGTTGGTATTTTACCACCTTTTCCTCCCCTGCTTCATATCCTGCTTTCAGAAGGTTAGACCCATCCTCGTGGCGGACAGTCACATGGACCACGTGGACCCGGCTTTTTATTACCAGATCAGGTATGATTCTAACCCTTTCGGTAACGGAGAAAGTGGCTTCCGTGGACATTACCGTGTCCGATTTCCGGAGCATCTTCCCTTCTATGAAATTTTTGATCTCGACATGACGCTTTATTCTTGCTGGCTTCGTACAAATGCACTGACCGAGGATGTGATTCACGGTTTCTACCGCTGTATTGCACTTCCTGCAGAAAACATCCTCTCTGGGCCTTCCTCTACTAAGAGTAGTTTTATTGGCAGCGGTATTTGATCTCATTGGGAGTGCAGTGATAAAAAGACCAGGTTTCAGAAAATGATAGTCTTTTAAAAAGGCATTTCCAATCGGATCGTTTATATGCGCCCTATCCGCTCTCCCTTGGGATCCCAGCTTCTCCCAGGCGGCTACCTCGTCATCGGCGCATTTCTTCTTATAAGCCCGTAAATCTTGTTCAGAATAGGGTCAGTTGAGTCTCAGTGATTTTACGGTCTTTAGTGTCCGTCCGTAAAATCTCGGACAGGAGCTCAACCATCTGCAAATAGGATCTGCAGATTTTTCTAATCGTAATC